CTGTAACACTTGTTGCACTGCTGCAGCTCAGGTAATGTGTCACCTCTCTGAATCCTTATGTCTCTACAAGAGATGAAGCCACACACAATTATCTCAATGATGACAAATGGGATTAAAATAACTCAACTACAAGGTAATATTAACACACAAACAATGCATATAACAGAGGGATTTAAAGCAAACTATTTATTTTTATGAATAATAAACATCTTCAAAACTTCACCACAAGGCCCATTTACAGCATGCATCTGAAAATTAATCGAAACAGCCACAGAAACTTTATATACTATAAAGTGTGACAACAAATTCAAGTTTCAATATAAGATAATAAAGCCAAGCACACATTAAGTTCTTAGCAGATAAATGCTTAACGTAATATATACGATCATTATCAAACATATGATAGCAAAAACATTACAGAATACTCACGTGCTCTCTCGTTGTCAATAACTCCGCCCCTCACTTCCGGTTCTGTGGCTGCGGTTCTGAAACTGCTGTGCTGCGGGTCTGCAGCTGGATATATCTCAATGAGCACACATACGGGCACTTTCAGCAGGGTTGTGATAAAGAGTGGCACGGTCATCCTGAAATATGACTGCTGCCCCCACTGGATCCCCCAACATTATTGGGCTAGAGTACTGTCCATCTGACGAGGCCTGTATGCCACTAGATCAGAGCGCTGTCAATTTCTGTCTGATTGTTGCATGCAAAGTTTGCATTTGGAGCGCTCAACAACGCGTTAGATCAGTGGGCTCTGTCAGTGCTTTGGCAAGCTAACACTTTTTTTTTTGCCATGCAATAAAGCTAAGTTCAAAGGCCAGTTTAAAATATTGGTACAGTGCACAAAATCTGTATTTTGTTTAGGCAGTATTTGTGGCAAATTTGTCCAAAAGGTGTGCGTTTTTTGCGGCAATGCATTGTTAAAGGATCAGCGTGTCATGTAATATTCCCATATAAACTTTAACATCCAATTAAAAAATATTTGTATAGTAAAATTAGCTAATTCACGTGATCAATACATCCTTTATTAGACCGCTTTGTCGAGTTAAATGCATCCTTACGGAGGTGTCGAAATGCTGAATCAATTCATTCACTTCCAACAGCGCTTAATGCGAGCAGCGTCATAGAGGGCAGAGCGTCACGTTATTTAAAGAGGACGTTAATGCGTTAACGAGTAACAAATGATTAAGTAGCTGCATTGGTTACTTTCATGCCACTCATAAAGCTTTTAAATGTAGTTTGGGGTAACAAAGGGGTTTTATAGGTTTGACTGAAATAATAATGCAATAACTGACACTTTAAATCAATGTTTCAAGAAACAACACCAAAAAAACTGAACAAAAAACAGATAAAGACAAAAAAGTAGCCATTTATAATATCTGAACAATATGTAGTAGTATAGTATATAGTATCCAAATCAAAATGTAATAAAATTAATTTATGTGTGATTTATGTGTAAGTTATGTGCAATATCTTAGCCACTAGGGATTGTTACATAGGGCTATACAGGCATCTAGTGGCAACACAATGATATTACAGATACTAAATTGTGCAAAATGTTTATCTTAACAGTCAATTTACAAAAAATGCTTTCAGATTTGTGGAACTCAATGCACTGAATCTCCACAAATTAGTGTCGTTACTATGACAACCAATTTGAATGTCACAAGCAACTGGTGTCTGAAAAGAATTATATATATACTGTATATATATATATATATGTGTGTGTGTGTGTGTGTGTATATCAATATCAACACCTTACATTTGTCCCACAACAGTTTTCTGGCATCCCTCTTCCACCCCACTCCTATTCACCAACTTGAGATATGGGGGAGTTCTTTAGGTTCAGGCTAAATTCCGAGCTCTGAGCCCTCTCCTCGGACAGCACGCATAATATGCATACTATTTGCTCAATCTGATTATGTAAGTAAGAACTCACGGGGGAAAATTAGTAAAATAGAAAATGGTAGAAATTGGCCAAGTTTACCTAATTTCTTTCAACTCAAAAACAATTGTTGTGGATTATTGTGATGTTTTTATCAGCTGTTTGGACTCTCATTCTGACGGCACCCATTCACTGCAGAGCATCCATTGCTGAGACACTGATGCAATGCTGCATTTCTCCAAACCTGATGAAGAAACTTTAAATCATCTGATATTTGGATCACGTCTTTAACTCATCAGTGTTTATTTGAGCATTAAGTTAAATGACATGTCTGGTTATTCTGAGTTTGTTGTTGCTGTTGTACCTTCTGCTTTGAGGATGTGAGAGATGTCCATCCCCTGACTGATTCTCAGTATCACAGTCCCGTGCTCGAAATCAAACGCGTCGCTGCAGGAAGAACAGAACTGTGTGCGTGTGTGCGTGTGTGTGTGTGTGTGTGTGTGTGTGTGTGTGTGTGTGTGTGTGTGAGAGAGAGAGTGTGTGTGTGTGTGAGTCCATAATGAGTCCAAATCCAGTATTAAGACGTTTTTAACTAAAATACATATATAAGCCATAATAACGCTTCCTGCAGTGAAAAAGTGCATCTGCTGTCATCTCTCACATCAAAATCCAGCCACATATGTGTTTAGAGCTGTTTAAACGCTGCTTGATCTGTGCAGATTTCTCTCCTGATTCACACCAGAACACTTTTTCACGTTATTATGGATTATAGACTCTATGTATTTTAGTTAAAAAGGTCTTAATGCTGGATTTGTTTCAGCTTTTGTCTTCTCCAGATGTTAACTGATGGACTGGAGTGCTGTGGATTATTGTGATGTTTTTATCAGCTGTTTGGACTCTCATTCTGACGGCACCCATTCACATCCATTGCTGAGACACTGATGCAGTGCTACATTTCTCCAAACCTGATGAAGACACAAACTCATCCTGACGGCCTGGTGGTGAATTTTAATTTCTGGGTGAACTAATCCTTTAAGGCAGTAAAACTAACATCCATCACTATACTAGATCAAGTCCTCAGTATATAGCTGAAGCTCAGACATTCCTTCACCTCTTGTCATCACAAAACTGTCACAAACATGATTCTAGTGGGAAAGGATGTGATTCATTGCTGTTTTGCGCTCTGAAAATAGCATTCTCAGAACTAACTCACTTTTCTCCGTTATGTTTGTAGTAAGCTGGTGTTTAAGTGATTTTAGAGGATGCACAGCCTTTTACAACCACATTTCACACCAGCAAAGTGATAGAATAGTTTTTGGACTACATTTTCGACGCTAGACTTTATTGTTATGAATTCAGACTGCACAAACTTCAAAGGTTTTGATTGTGAAATGTGTTTGTGTATCTTGTCTTCAGTGAATGGCCCCTGATTAGATGTGGCAGTATATCATTCAGCACAGGCAGGATTACAGTAGGGGCGGGGCCTGCGTCTGTCATGGGGGCGGGGCGTGCGGTTGCCAGGCGCTGGGTCACTCGTGTGGGAAGTGCTGAAGTTTCAACGCGTCACAGCCGCGTCACACACGGATCACACGCAGATTGATCGCGTGAACGACGCGTCCGGCGGCTCTCTGACGGCTGTGAGCCGAGTTCGAGTCCTCCGGTTGATAACTCACTACTCTAGCCCGTTAGCGAGCGTCTCTCACGCGCCCGCAGCGCAGCTCTCGGATATTAACTCTTCTGATCGAGCTGATCGATCAGCCAATGATCATGGAGAGGAAGAAGACGGACTGTCCGGCGCTTCCACCCGGCTGGAAGAAGGAAGAAGTCATCCGGAAGTCCGGGCTGAGCGCTGGGAAGAGTGATGTGTATTATTACAGGTGAGTCTTTTTATTCATTTGTATTTTTCTGTATGTTCGCGTGTTTGTTTGAAGCGCGCGCGTTGAGGCGTTACATTGTATCCAGAAGCAGCGCTGAACTCTCAGGAGAGATACACTGTAACTCCTGCGCCGTGACGTCACTGCAGTACAGCGCGAGCGCTTCCTCTGAGCGTCACCTGTTGAGTGCTCGGCTTTAGACTCCGAGCTGTTATTGCTCATTATTTATGAACAGAGACGCTCAGAATACACATCTGTGTGTGTGT